AGGATCACCCCTTTCAGATTAGCTCCTTCATGATTGATCCTATTCATGTCTCTTAAGATATTGCTAAAGAAAGGAGTAGCAACTGCTTAGGGTGAAATGCAATTGACCCTAATCCCATACTGCCCCAACTCTTCACACAAGGTCTTAGACAATTCAACAACTCCATACTTGGAGACTAATAAATTTATAACAAATTGAACAGTCCAGACATTGAATTGGACCGACCCAAAATGGTGTACTATATTCATTGGATTAGATTGGACCTGGTCCATTTGTAATGAATTCACATTGAACTGGATCAGATTGGGCCAAATCCAATCCAATTAACACCCCTACTTGGCCCCATGATAAACAAATTAACAATCTTGCTGTATACTTACCTATTCCACTGGCCCCTCCAGTTATGATTGCAACCTTCCCTTCCAATCTACAATATCACACATGCGTCTTAGATAGATTGAAGATGTTGTTCTGCGATTGCTGCATCTATCCCCATTTGTTGTATGTGCCTATTGTCTAGCTTTGTCCTTTGAGCCTAAAGTTGTTTTACAACAAGGACATACATTTGGGCCCTAGTTAATTCATTGCCAAAAGTCCATTTTTGGCCACTTCTTATTGATGGCAGGCATGAAATGGTTGAGATATTGTATATAATATATAATACATTTTAATTTTTAAGGGGTTAAATTATAAAATAGATAAATTTAGAGGTTCTACATAACATTAAGAATATGGGTCAGCTTTACTACATCCAAAGCTGTAGAAAACTAGAAAAGTTATTTTTCTTAGTTTAAAGTGGTTTACCAAAGAATATGGGTGAGCTTTGCATTGTTGTTGCTTTAATTTATTCTTTAACATTTATGTAATTAGTGAAAACAATATATAACATGATGTCAACTAATCAATAGTGTTTCGGTAGTTCACTTGTCAATAGCAGATAACTTTAATTTTATGTGGCCTCCTCACTATGATCTCAATGTGGTAGGTTTGCAAGTTATTTTCAACATGTGATTTGGAGCCCCACCAATTATTAGAAGAATGGACAAACATTAAATAGCTTGGTATTTTTTGAACCAAGAATTTTTTTATTCTTTTTTAGAACTTTCATTTTTTCTGTTTTGTTTCTTTTTGGAAATATGAACCAGATATCACAGGCTATTTTGGTTGTAAAGATTTTCCTACCTTACTACTACTATTTTCTGCGGGAAATAAAATTTATTTTTAACAAGTGATGACAAAAACTAGTAGAACAAGATTTCAAAACCAAACAAGCTCTAAGCCCAGCATCATCTAGAGTTTGGTCACTCCAAACAGGGCTATCAATGGGGTTCAAAAGTCCGATAAATGATCTGAGATCTGATCTCAATATTTCAGATTAGGATGATCTATTTACATAATCAGATAGGATGTATATCCATTTGACCCTAACTCTAACTCTATGTCTTGGCCAACCTTGGAATTAACTTTACAGCATGAACCGGTTTTGGGTGTCAAAATGGCAAAGCAAAGATCGTTGTAGAACAAAGAGCAAAGCTAGCTAGGTTCAAATTAAGACTGGGAATTGACTTGACAATTACAAAGTTCAGAGCTACTTTTGGCCCCAATAGTGTTCTATGTATACTTATATGACATAGATCAGTTGATCCAACTGAGTGGTGGCTCAGTTGATACATAAATTGGATAGCCTAGATCAGATGCAATTTTGAGCCCTATTATTGGCTCTCACCAAAAGAGTTATTAATATTGTTAGAAAAAGTATTATACTATACCAAGAAGAATTGAATTAAGGCCTCCAGGAACCATCGGTCTAGTATTAGGGCAGCCAAAACCGCATTTGGTGTCTGAAAAAGGAAAACAGTTTCTTGGGATATGGGTCTACCTTCATTCTGAGCTGTTGACATCTCGGCATAAGTTTGAGTCTTACCTCCGCCCAAGATCATAATTTCTGGCTTTTGGGTCTGAGTGGTTGTAAGTGATTGAAGTGTATCACAATTAAAGTGATTCACAAGATTCAACGAGCAATCAATATTTTATGGTCAAAGGTCTGGAAAAAATATCTGAAAAGGGTGGAAGGTATTATTCAAAAGTTATGAAAGATGCGAGTCCTCTGCCCACTAAAACTCTGCCTACTTTTAGCGTAGTTACACATGGAGAGCATCTCATTCTCTATATGTTATTATGCAAGGGGAGATATTTTCAATTCATGGGAGTAATATGTTGTGGGTAGGCATGGGCAGAATTCTTGTGGATAGGAAATCCAAAATCGAAAGATGCAACTTCAAAATATCTCCCTGTTTTCCGAATAAAACATGTTAATCCTTTAAAAGCAAGTAAAGTCTCAAAATGGTTTTCTTATAATTGTCCTGCTCTGAAAACAAATTAATTAATTAATTAATTAACATATGCTAATTTTACCTTGAAATTACTTTGGAAGCACTACACTAGAAGTATATTCTAGATTAAATGAAGAAATTTATATATGAAAGATGTTTTTGCAACTACTTTTGCTTATTACTTCACACCCTTCATAATCTTCGGGGTGGTGTTAAAAGATGCGCATGAGAGAGTGATCACATTCAGCTTTCTAATATAAAGGAATCTGAATTGGTTGCAAGTGGCCCCTGTTTGATTGTTTTTTTTTCATATTTTAAAATAAAATAACTACAAAATTGAGTATGCTGACTATAGTAACAGGAGAGTCCTGTGCAATGTATAGGCTGGTTTTAAAAGATGACCATGTTTTATATACATGGGAGTGATTACAGGTTTTCTAATTAAAAGGAAACTGGATCCATGCATTGTGATTAGCTCATTTTTTTAATCGAAAAACTATAAAATTCTAAGGGGTAAGGAATCAAGAGAGGATAACTGATGTGGACAACTATATTTTAGATATAAGATTAGAAAAGCTTGTTTGATTCAGAGGCCTATCATGTTTTATTTATTGGGGTATTATCTAAAATTCATTATGACTATTTGTCAAAATTTTCAGAGAGCCCCATGTCAGTGAGTCTTTATTATTCAAAATTTTCCTTCAGTCAGATGATTGTTAGTGATCCCTAATAGAAGTTGTCATGCAAAGGTGTCAACTAGCTGGTTGGTAAGGTCTCTTGTTGTTCGTAGTTGAGACTTTGGATCAAATCCTGCCTGCATCTAAATTCAGGGGCAGAGCCAGGTGATGGCGGAGGGGAGCCATGGCCCCCCTATGCCTTCAAAATTCCCTTTAAATTTATTTTAAGTTTTACTTGTATTTTAGTCCCTTCACTCATGTTTCCTAACCTTTGGGCCCCTTCAATAAAAAATTCTAGTTCTGCCCCTGCCTAGATTGGGGGATGGGTGAACCCCACTCCCTACAAAGTTACAATGACCCAACTCCCCTAAATGGTGAGCCAATTTCTGGCAATTACGTTGATGGTGCTCCCCTTCCTTATCAATTCAGATTTTGATTTCGATTCCCACTATGGACCAAATGGACTCTAAGTTTGATAAATAAAAAAAAATGTCAATAATAGTGAAAACCCCACAATGGTTGATTTTAACCAATTAACATAACAAGTTGTGGGTCTTGGTTTTGCTTTCATTTCATCGTCTCTACTGGAAGAACTCTCATGTGATGACATTTGAGGGAGCTCTGAGGATACAAAATGGCAAGCCCCTGTTTAGTAGTTTGGAAAAGGGTAAAGGAAAAAACAACTATAAGCTTCAAACATTTGCATCTATTTTGGAAATGCCATTGACTATTGTTAGGAACTGGGGTATGAAAACTTGGAGGAAAGATTTGAGGCATGTCTAAAGACACTGTCTTTAGAATCTTATTTGCCCACACTCAATTTTACTGAATTTGTTGTTGGGTGATTATAGACAATTTCGTTCCCAGGATATAACAACTAAGGCTTGATCGAGAATCTACAATCAATAAAATTGAATAATTTTTGAAAAAAAAACTTTTATGAAATGGTAACAGATTGGATTGAGAAACAATAGAAAATTGGTTTTAATGTAAGATTTTAAAACTATTTTCGAAATGCATGTGCAGGTGTCATGTAATTAATCAATCAAACCTCATTCGATTTAATCTCTAATGAGATTTAAAATCCAACAACTACAATGCTGCTGTTGTAATATTTTCCAGAGTCACTTGTAATTAATTTCTCCCTAAGATGACGGAGAAATGACTTAATCCACACAGTTCAAATTAAAGTCGGCAATGAGAGGCTGTGTGATACAGCGACATCGATTAGAGAGTGGTTGCACTTCGGGGAGTTCACATCGATTAGAAAGAGACGGAGCTGTTTTGGTGTCCACTGGCCACTGCCATTCTGGCAGCTGCATTGCAGATGACATAGGAGCTGAGGACAGAACGGACACAGCTGACGCCTGACGGCGACAGAGGCCACCATGGTTTTCCTAAATTGCAATTGCGTAGACTATGGAGATGCTTTGGGGTTTGGGTTTTCCCATCCCAAGGCCCGAAAGAGGAAGCTTCGACTGGGTTATTTCAACTGTGGGTTCTCTGGAGAGAGTGGTTCGGTGTCAGAGGAAGAAGACGACGAACAGTGCTTCTCCCAAGAAGATCACTAATGGGGGCTTTCTGGAGATTTTGAAAATCAAAGGTGACTTTAACTGTTTAAGATGGAGAGAAATGTCAAAAAGTCATAATGGATTTTAGATAATATCCCTTATTCTGTTACTTGTTTAAATACAGACCACAAAATTTAAAAGTGATGACGGCAATTGGCTTATTGGCAAAGCTGAATCGGGAGCAAAATTTGCATATAGTTCAGATTTGCAATCACAGGCCACGGGGATCAATTTAGCCAAACCCAATTTAATTTGTTGAGCTAATGGAGCTACTAGTTTTGTATGAAAAATAAAAAGATCGAAATCGCATTCTAATTAATGGATCAGGTTTTATTAACAATATATCAACTGAGAATCCTCATAGTAAACAATCCAATAAGTAGTGAAATATAAGTTATACTAATTAATTGCAGCAGCACACAGCAAACTCCGGCAACCAAGATAGATGACTAACTGGGATGTGACATGGCTTGAGCTAAAGCAGTGTTAAAAGCATGATTGGCAACGCTGTAACCACCATCAATAACCAGATTAAGCCCACTCACGTACTTGGACTCATCACTTGCCAGATAAAGAGCAGCTTCTGCTACGTCCTCTTCCTTGAGGATCACCCCTTTCAAATTAGCCCCTTCATGACCGATCTTCTCAAGTTCATTCCTATCCATGTCTCTTAAGATATTGCTAAAGAAAGGAGTAGCAACTGCGTATGGAGAAATACAATTGACCCTAATCCCATACTGTCCCAACTCTTCACACATGGTCTTACACAACCCAACGATTCCATACTTTGAGACTGTGTAAGGATATGATGAGGAACAGCCAATGGCTGTAACAGCACTTGCATTAAAGATGATGCTTCCTCCTTTCTTCTGTGGAATCATCACCCTTGTAGCATGTTTGGCTCCTAACAAGGAACCCACAAGGTTGACACTGAGAACTCTTTCGACTTCTTTCTTATCAGTACCCAAAATGGTTGGAAGAAGAGCTCCTGAAATGCCCGCATTGTTGAACATGATGTCAAGCTTTCCATACTTGGAGACGGTACTGTCCACAACATTTTCGATATCGGCCTCTCTGGTAATGTCGCAGTGGATGAACAAGGCATTTCCGCCTTCGTCGACTGAACCCAACTCTTGGCACAGTGCTTGGCCAAGCTCATCTTGGACATCAGCAATTACAACCTTGGCCCCATGATGAACAAACAATCTTGCTGTGCACTTACCTATTCCACTCGCCCCTCCAGTTATGATTGCAACCTTCCCTTCCAATCTACAATATCAGACACGCATCTAATTAGACAGATTGAAGGTGTTGTCCTGTGATTATATTGCTGCATCTAATTATCCCGGCCCAGTGCTTTGCATAGATTGGACAATTGGGAAACATATATAATTAAGCTCTAATGGAACCCTGAACAGGTATTTGGTGTCAAAATCATATAGCAAATTAAGATCTCTAATTTCTAGAACAAAAAGCAAATTATATTAGCTAGCTAGGTTCAAAGACTGGGAATTGACTTGAAAATTACAAAGTTAATTAGAGCTATTTTTGGCCATAATATTGTTATATCTGTACTATACGACATGGATCAGTTGATATATATATATATATAATTATCTCCAGCAGGAACCAGCAGGCCAATGTATCAAGTTAGCCCAAACCGTATTTAGGACCCTGAAGAAAGAAAACAGTTTCTTGGCAACCTGGGTCTGCCTTCATTTTTTGTTGTCGACGACATCTGGGTACAAGTTTCAGCCTTACCTCGATCCCACCAAGAGCATCATTTCTGGGGCTGGAATTAAACTTGATGATATTCCAGCAATGACCAAAAGAGGAGGTAGGTTTGTTGGATAGCCTTACCTTTTGGTGACAGGAACTACCACAGAAGCAGCACTCATTATCACCCAAAGAACTATTTGTTGAGTGAGTACTCGCTCAGCCTGAGTTGATGGAAGATGGAGATGTAATGCGGAGAAGGTTTGTTTTGCCTTCTGAGCTCTTCTACCATTTGCTGGTTATTTATAACCACTCCTCGATCCGGTTAAAAAAGAGTTTTTAACTTTTTATCTAAAATACTCTCTCACTACCAAATCAATATGAAATATTTTGGTTTTTATTTTATTTTTCATTTTACTTAATAGTTTTGCTTTACTTTTTAAATTTTAACACTTGTCTCTCCTTGCTCTTTTATTTATTACTAGTAGGGAAAATTTGCTGGTAAAAACGATCAAAAGATATATTGAATGCCGGCTCCTGGTAAATTTCCAAAAGTATATACATTAAATTATTGATTCTTTAAACATATTAAATAATTTATTTTCTTTTTTAAATATATTATTTACAAAATTACACTAATTTATCTTTTATTGTTCAATATAAGTTAATTAATAATTTCCTTTTCTAAAATTTTCCAATATTATACTAATTTATATTAATAACAGAAATATTTTGTGTAATTATTGGTTCAAATTAACGTTTTCCTTTACCAATACTAATTTATCTTTAACAATTTAAAATGAAAATCACACAATTTTTAAATAATTTTCCAAAATCTATCAAATGTAATAAAAATTCCCAAATTTCCAAAATATTCAATAATTATTTACTACATTTTAAAGAAAATTTCCAAAATTACATTAATATATATTTTTTATTTTCTTCTCCAAAATTTTCCAAACTTATGATATTTTGTTTGCCAATTTGTAAAATCCACCAACTCTTTCCTGTAGCTATAATTGTTGAATTTATTTTTTCAATTTTATAATTTTTAATTTATTTTAAATGAAATTTATAAAGAAATTATTGGTTGAAAATTTTGTATATTCATTGATTTCTAGTAGTTTTTTTGGAAAATAACACAATTTAGTTGTTAGTGTAATAAAATTAATTTTAAGAAATTGTAACTATAGTAAAACATTCATTATAATGATTACTCTATTTAATTACTACACCAAAATTCCAATAATAATTATTTAAAAAAAATATTAATTTAACTACACTAATAATTATTATTGGAATTACAGTTATTTCAAAATTACAGTAACTACGGTATTTTGAAAATAACAAATTTTACTATAATAATTATGTGTAACTTAATAATTATTATTACACTAATAATAAATTTACACTAATAAAATTACATTAATAAATTTCTGAAAATGTAATAAGATGAAAATATATTTTAATGACAGGGGTATAAATGGAAGAATGAAATCAAGGTCCTTTGACATAACACAATTTAATTGTTAGTGTAATAAAATTAATTTTAAGAAATTATAACTATAGTAAAACATTTATTATAACGATTACTCTATTTAATTACTACATCAAAATTCTAATAATGCATTTCATTCCCTCATTACGTATTTTTGTCTTTCACAATCAAATTCCATCAAATAAATACATGAACACTATTATCAAAAAGGTGAATCCATGATGCTATAATTAAACACTAAAAAGCTATAAATATATAAAATATAGAAACTATATAAAGAAAATTTGGGCACATCCCTAATATATTTTTGTCATATTAAATAAAAATAAGTATGATAAAAAAAATATTTTTATTAGTTACGGAAATGGAACAAAGAAAATAAATTTAAAACTGACAAAAGTGTGAGTAGTTCCCAATGGATTTTAGACTTTTTTTCTTAGCTAAAATACCCCTGTTTATAAATTTGATCCCTCTCTATTGTGAGGGTAAAAATTGTAATTTAGATATTACTTTTTGGTGCATTTCATTACCTTATTAAGTTTCATATTTAAGGCATTAACTCTCATTCTCATATTTAATAGTATCAAACCTATGTGTTAAAATCGACCTAAAAATGAAACCAAGTAGTTAAGCAGTTCAACCGTTTGTCAAAAAGGTGAATCCATGATGTCATAATTAAATAATGACACTTTACAATATAAATGATAAGGCTTATTGTATTTACAATTTTGGTTATGTTTGCAAAATAATGTTGAAATTGGTGAACGGGAAAGAGACCTAGAACTTTTAGACAAAATTACCCTTATATACTTTAGTTTTCGTTTTCTCAATTGGTGATCAATTGGAACATCTTGGAACCTCTCTGTGAATAATCCTTCCAAGCAAGTATGGGTCTGTCGGGATTCCAAAACAACGATCCCTTAGACCTTTTGAATCCTCATGAAGAACATGGTAGTGGCAGAAACGAAGAAGAAATCTTGCCCAGTTATGATTTTCAGTTGATTCAACCCATCAAACTTCCTTAATCAACAAAATCACAATTGGAGCAATGTGGGGGAAACTAGGGTTTGGTATTTGGCAGATTCAAAGGACCAACACATGTTCTCAAATTAGAGTAGGATTTCTATATTTCAGTTTTAGGTCTCTCTTAGGGGACTTTCTTTTTTTGGATTTTGAGAGGAGGGAAAGTTGGTCAATGGGATTTTGATTCTCATTGACCAAAAAACCCATGTTCATTTTTCAAATTTACGTGGGGACCAATGAAAGTTTATTTTCTTGGGTATATATCACTTACTCGAGTAAGTAATACCCATCTCCTAGGTGAGTAAATTAGCTTTTCCATCTAGGGGAAAGTTGCCAATATTTGGATGGGACAAAAATGCCCCTTTTAATAATAGAATTTTTATGGCTAAGATGGTCATTGCCTTATTTATTTAGGTAAGTGACTTATCAAAAAGCAAACGAGGCATTAATCAATTTTCTTCGATGGAACTTACCGAAATTCACATTGTTTCTAGAGATTATGAATAATTGAACTCTTATAGCGAGTACAATTATACAAGAGTGATTCCTTCTTTTTTCAAAATGAGAATATCCTTAGAAAGCTCATTGCCAGCTTGATTAAGTTGTTTGTAAGTTTTTTTTTTTTTTTTGTTTTTGAAATATCTTTGGGAAGTTCTGACGGTCAAAAGATGTAAGCTTTTGCATTAAAAACTTGACAGTCTAAAGATCGTTTGATTAAGGCATGTCTTTTCATGCATCTTTTCGTAAAGAGATGAGTTGAAAAAAAAAAAAAAACCAAAAAGTTCCATTTGAAACATCCTAAAAATCACTCAAGACAACGTCTTTTCAGCACAAATTCTTTTTACATTTAAATCTTTTCCCAACCAAATAGGAAAAGACAAAAAACACAGACAGCCAAATTTCTAAAAAACCAACAAAAAGACACACCAAGCAAGAGTAAAATGATGATAAGGTTAAAAGAAGAGCCAAAATAACTCTATCCACTTAGAGCATTGACTTTCTGTAATGACTGTTAAATATTCATTTCTTAAACATGGGAAAAGTACCATAGAGGTTGACGATATGTAATACTTCCAGGCTTCTAGCATACCAATCTTAATAAAGAAAAGTTTTAAATGCACACAGGAATAAATTTTAGAAGTTGAGGCAAGAGATATTAGAGCAATTAAATTCGAAACAAATTACTACTCTTCTAAAAGTGGAAACAAAGGTTCTCCAATATCCACAGCAGAAACAAAACGGAGTATACAAATAAAACAAATCCAAAATCTGACTGCTAACAAGAACAATAGAGCTCTCGATTCCCTAACTAATGTATCAAACTATTTGCAAAATAAAAATCATTTACATAGTAGAATGGTGATCCAATCTGTGACATCAAATTTCGCAACCAGAATTTTGATTCAGAACTCTCGAAATCAAACAACTATACAAGGATGGATTAGAAAAAAAAATTAAATAATATTGTTTATAAGATCGGGGGCTCTTTCCATTGCTTCTGCTTGTCTCTAAGCTTATAGCAATGTGTTTTGAGTTCGTGAGAAGGTATAGAGTAAGAAATCTCCCCATTGTCTTCTAGCAAGGAGTTATTTTCTTTCCTCTTTTTATTGTAAGATTATTTTTCGTCCAAAAGCTTTAAATCTTCTTCCCCGTAGCCGATTCCAACATTAGTTTCAAAACATAGCAGGATTCGCCAATATAATAAACTTCATCATTTATAATGCAAAAATCCAATTAAATAATACAAAGTTAAAAGTAGATAAAATATATAAATAAAGAAGTATGATAAAAAAGTACTTTTATTAATTATGAAAATCCAATTCAGACGTCTGACGTCTGAAAATTTTGTTTTTCAGACGTCTAATACATTCGGAATGTATCTAAAATAATGATTTGAAATGGTTTTTCAAATCTGAAATATTAAGATCCCACCCCGACGGCACTTAACCTGCTTAGACGCGTTTTAGATGAAGCCCAAAGACAAAAATACCCCTAAATACTTTTGAAAAGATGCAACATGCCCCTATTTTTAATCCACTCATTCTTCTTCCTCTCGAACAAGGAAGAACAATTGTCGCACTGCCGAATTCGAGCATTCGTGTTCTTTCTCTCGAACCAGGTATATTCAACGTCTCAAATCCAACTTTTGCTTTTTGTTTTGCTTCTTCATTGTCATAAATCCAAGCTTCCACTTTCCTTCTTACCGCTTTCTGCATTTTTTTAGGGTTTCAAATAGCATTCCAACATTAGTATTCTGTGGTGCACAGTGTAGACAACTTTACCGCTCATGGCCTGTAATCCTTTCCTCTCCCATCAAATCTCAATCTCTTTTTCCTCATTATGCAAAACTCTCTCTCCCCTCATTCAAACCAGTATCTCATTTCTGATAATGTTCGTTCTAGTTCAATCCGATAAGGTTTCATTCCCATTCTATGATGGTGAATAGTTTTTCAAATTTCAAACCTTCAAGGATCTTCGAAAGGGTCAAATCTTGTAATCAATTGAATGCGTAAGTAGTATCTCTCTTTTCTTTGTTTGATTGTATAGGTCGTTTGTATCTCGGCCAAGAAATTGTTTTCTATCATTGAAGGAGAGTGATTCTAATAGTTGAATGTCGATTTTTTTATTTTGTCCATACTCCATATCTACTTACAAGGAAAAGCAATCCGAATTCATCCCTTTTTTTATTGAGGAACAAATTGTTGGTTATACCATAATTAGTATGCACCTA